GGCACATAACAACAACAACAACAACAACAATATTCAGCCTTATCATTCACTGTCATCCTATGCTGGGCCTAATGTACAGGCATTTGAAAGCTTTCTGGCTTGATTGGGAGGCTCTCCAATTCAATTCATGAATCCAGAAATAAATCTCTGGTCTCATGTGGGAAGAACATGGAAAAAGAGACATTGAAAGAGTTTTTACATGATTTTCAGTAATGATAAACCAAAAACCAAACTCACTGCCATCGAGTCAGATTCCATTCATGGCAACACCTCTGTGGGCTTCCAAGGTGGTATCTATGGAAGTAGATCGCCTCATCTTCCTTCCAAGGAGTGGCTGGTGGATTTGAACCACCAGCCTTCTGCTTAGCAGTCAAGTGCTTTAGGAACTATGCCATCAGAGCTCCCAAAGGAGATTAATTCAAATGTTACTTATATGAACTTCCAGCCCCATACCTAACCGCCCCCTTCTATAGTATGTGATGTCTCAAAGTTCTTAGGCTTCTCAAGGTTAAATATTATAAAAAGGAAAATCAAGAACAAAGTTGTATGTACACCATGATTACAACTATGAAAAATATATCCATATAAGTCAAACCTAAAAGGGATTATCTAAAAGTGAAAAGAACTGTTACATAAGGGTCATTTTAAAAATAATTCCTTTACAAGGTTTAAATATTTTTTTCCCGTAGAAATTTTTAACAAAACTAAACCAAGAGTATTTATTAAAAACTTCACACAAACTCTCCACACCAATGACTACCATCAAGTAAGAAATTATATGTCATACACCACCCTCACAGGGTCATTTTATTCATTCATTGCATCAATAACTGAAGATAACTCCAGTTAGCTCATACGTACTTGCATTCAGACTCCTCGCACCAATCTTTATCCCGGTGTTTGTGTTCATGCCAAGGAATGATCATCAAAGCATCATCACAGAAACTTAAAAAAAAAAAAAAGAGCATTCAAAATGTGCATTATCTCAGTTATTGGTTACACAAAGAATATAATACAAAAAGCATCTCTAAAACCTAATCACCAAGATTCCTGTTATAGTGTCAAAGTGGTACATAATATATATTATACATAACTAAGGATCTTTGGTGGCACAAAGGTTAAAACACTCAGCTGCTAACCAAAAAGTCAATAACTATAACACAATATGGAAGAAAGACCTCAAGATATGATCCCATAAAAATTACATTCTAGGAAACTTTATACGGCACTTCTACTCTGGCCTATAGGGTTGCTATGAGTTAGAAGTGATTTGACAGCAAGTAACACGTACAATAATTAAGTGAAAGGAAAATATTAAATTGTTAATTTGTCTTAGATCACAGAATAACCCAAAAAGATATGAGATTTCAAAGCAAATATTTGGCGGGGAACAAAAGAATGGTATAGATTTGTGTTCATGCATGTGTTCTAAAACATCTATCAAGAGTCTACCTTGTATGTCCCAGGACACACATATAAATATAAATGGCCCCCTGCCCTCAAAGAGCTTACAATCTACAATAATGGTGTTCCATAAAACTTTCTGTGACCATGAATATATTTTATATCTATGCTATCCAATACAGCAGCCATAGTTACAATTACCTATGAAACACATTAAATGTAATGCTGCTACTGAGAAAGTAAATTTTAGATAGCATCCTAACAGACCACACACCAGATCCCTCTTTCAACTAAGATTTTTAGAAACTCAGTGAAACATATATAAATAATGATCCTGGAATTGTGAGCATCTAAGAAGGAGCTCTGGTAGCATAGTGGCTAAAGCACTTGACTGCTAACCAGAAGGCTGGCGGTTCAAACCCACCAGCCACTCCTCGGAAGGAA